GGGAGTTGTGTGCCCCTTCAGCGGTACGTGGACGAGACGGGGGACGTGCAGACGCCCGTGGCGTACGTTGCTCTGTATGGGTCCGGCAAGGGTGCGTCATGGCGTCAGTGGAACGAGGCCTACCGCAGCCAACTGAACGCAGAGGGGCATGCGATTCTACGGAGTCTGCACGATCTCAGCTGCAAGAAACTGGCGCGGCTCCGAGAGCAGCAGAGCGGGTTTTCGGCAAAACGCCACGCCGTTCCGCCTCCAGAAGCACCTCTCGGTCGGCTTGTTGGACTTTCTTCGCCAGCTGTCGGTCTGATGGGTGTACCGTTTAGCGGACTTGCGGGCGGAGCCGCAGCGGAGACGAAGACAAAACCAAAACGCAAGAATAAACGGAACGTGGAGCTGCGTTGCAAGTGCGGGAAGGTCGTCGCCACGTCGCCAATGGAGTCGGCTGACACGGTGACAATAATGGGGCGTCGTCAACAGTCATTGTGTGGCAGTATTAACTGCCTCACACCAATGTGCGTCGTCTGTGGCGAACCGATGTTTGCCCTTGCGAGTGGCTACGACGTTGATTCCTCCTTCACTTGGTGTACCGTATGTCTGCACGGGGGGCACTGGTCCCACCTGCGCGATTGGTTTGCAAAGCATAGAAAATGTCCTGCAGAAGACTGCCTTTGTACTTGTTACTGCCCTTCATTGTCCCCATGATTTGTGTGTTTGTGTGTGTATGAGTTTCTTTTTTTTTCTTCTTCTGTATTTCTGTGTTTTTGTTTATGGGTATATATGCTTCTTATGAAGTGGCTGGTTACACTTTGTTGTTTTTTCCCCTTTTCTTCATTGAGTGTACGTGTAAATTTCCCTTTTTTTTTTTTAGTGTGTGCTGACAGCGGTACTGCTTTTGCTGCTATTACTACTACTGGTGGTGGTGGCACCCGATTTTCTCTCTTTTTTTTTTTCTTCTTTTAACGTGCGCACATATATATATGTATATGTGCCCAATTCAAATTTTTTTATTTGCTTTTTCCCTCTGTGAAAATGTCTACGTGGCAGGCCGTCTTTTTTCAATCTTTGATTACGTGGCCGAGTAGGGTGACAGAAATAAATTATTATTATTTATTTTTTTATTTATTTATTTTTTTTGTGTGTTTGACATATATACACATAAATAAGGAGGTAGAAAGGAAATGAAGTATTTCTCATGCCAGCCCGATAGTCATAACGGGTTTGGTTTACTTATTGGCCACACACTCATGTACTTCACAGTGGAATGCGATCAACCAGAGACTGTGGGAGCCAATATTAGTAATAGTATTATTAGCAGTAGTAGTAGTAATAATAATAATAATAACAATAACAATAATAATAAGAATAATAATAATAATAATAATGGCAGCGACTCCAACGCTGCATCAAATAGCGAGAAGGGGACATCACGTGCCCATGTACAATACACAGTCACTCTTCCCCAGGAATTTGGCTTGGCCCCACAGTGCTTCAGCATGGCAAATCGTTCCTTGTATGGATTTGACATGGCGTTTGTGGGGGCGAGTACCGGTGTCATGGCTGTGGTGGTGATGGCCACATCCAGCGCGATTTATGTCCCAGGAAGGAATATTGCATCGTTGCGTACATTCCCCACGGCAGCCGCCACACCCGCAGCTGCGAGGCAGGGGGATCACCGTGCTGCGTCACATGTACACCCTCAATCCAACACGGGTACGATTGGAGCCTCCGCCTTTTATTCACCCTCGTTGGGTCAGATGTCGGAGTCGGACCGTGGCGTTGGGACAATCACGTGGATGCGTGACAAACCAATTGTGTTCGTCGGATTTATGTCCGGTCGTGTTGAGTGGTATTACGTGACAATCGCCGCCTCCACACAAAAGGCAGAGATGGGCAAAGGCCATGTAGGTGCCGCCACTACTCCCGTTACGGGAACAGCAACAGTAGCAACATCAGCGGTAGAGGAGTGTCCTTCTCGAGGGAATAGGAGTGTGGAGGGGCAAGAGAAGGCCGCAGGATGGACAGAGGCGGGGTCTGTTACGAGGTTTTTCGGTGATTGCGCGCTACCACCGAGTATATGGATGCATAATAGTTTTTGGCAGCGAGGGACAATTCAGAAAGTACACGAAAACGGAGAAGGGGAGGGTGTGCGAATTCGTTTGCATCTTTCGTGTGCCTTTTACGATACCGGTGGATTCTTAACAAGTGACTGGTTCCCAGCGACTGGGCACGTTGTGGCTGGGGCGGAGCGCGCGGTTTATGTCTTCTCCACAGAACAGCCGGGGGCTCCGCTGTATTCTGTTTTATGCGTCGGCTGCAGTTTTCTTGCTTGCCACCCCTGCCTGCCCATTGTGGGCTGCCTTTCCTTTGGAAGGTCGGCAGAGACAGGCAAGCAGCCAGGTGCTTGTGTGCTGCATGTCTTTGAGTGGACGACTGGCGGCACCCTTTTTCTTGCCGCCGAAAAGCGTACATTTCATGGTGTCCCGCGTCATGACGTTTACTACAGCTGCTCGTGGAAGTTTAGTGCTGATCGGCAATTGGCCATCTGTAACGTCGTAGAGGGTGCCGTGCATGTGCTGCACCTTGCGAAGACAGAGGAGGGATTTGAGGCGGCGTCGCAGGAGGGTACGGAGACTTCTTTATCCTCGTCATCTTCATTACCGCGGCCCTTGTACACATTTAACCGGGAACGTGAAGCACCAATTCCATTGCATTCGCTTATCAACATTGAGTTTATATCTGCTGCGACACATGCTCTGCCCGAAGTGACACCGCCTACCACCTCGTTGTCGTTGCACAACACAGGTGGTGTATTAGTGCGGGAACACATGTTGGCAAGGCGCATGCTGCATTCATCCGGACCACGACGTAAGGTTTGTCGTTCGCATGACAGCAGGGCTGCTGCAAGGGCGGCACGAATTCAACGTGGGAATGGCAACCGTCTGCATCATCATCATGGTCATTATGATAACAAAGGGGCAGGTGGCAGTGGATGTGGTGGCGTTGGCTGTAGAGACGTTTGTTTGTACTGTGCCACTGCGCGCGACGATCCCGGAGTCAAGAAGGGTGCGGGTGCCTTTTCCCGCATTGTTGGTATCAATCACGCGGGCGAACTCACAGCCATTCCAGTGGACGCAGATGCAAGGATTTCCATTTTGGGATCAGGATGTTTTGCTGCCAGTTTCTGTGGGTCAGTTTTTGTCGGGAGCGGCGATGTGCATCAGATGGACACGGGGCAGCGCATGAAGAGGCGGTTGGTAGCCGGCTTCGGTGTTCCTGCCGCAGCCAACGTGCAGGCACTTTGCGAGTTCAACGACCCGTCGGATGAGGATTTGCGTGTTTTGTTTGCGTACATCAGCATCATGGAGACGGTGGGTGCGGTGGGCAGCAGCGGACCGGTTCCAAGCATTATTGAGTTGCTTTCGCTCGCAAACGCCCCGAATACAACAAAATTGATGGCCCTCAATTTGCTGCCGCACGGTATCACCGTGGTGTGCGGCTCTTCCACCTCGCCGAACGACTCGCGTCGACTGCTGCTGCTGCAGCTACTGAACTGGATTCCATCGGAGGAGTCCTTCTCGTGCGGCGAGGGGAACAATGAGGTGTGCGAGTACACGAGGTGTGACGAGCTGGAGCGCGCAGTGGCCGTGGAGGTGCTCCACAACCGGAGGCCGCGTGCTGTCACGCTTCTTCAGCGGCATAAGCAGCTGAATTCAAAGTACACAACCATCGCAGGACTTCTTGAGTACCCGGACTTTATTTTAAATACCCTCCGTGGCGGTGCGATGGAGGAGGCGCAGGAATGTTTCTTAAAGCAATGGAGCCCATGGCTTCAGGTTGTCTTTTTGCATGAAATGAACCGAACAAAAATATACACAAATGTCGGGCTTCCCTTTTGGGATCGTATTGCCATTGCGGTCATCTTGGAGAGTGACACATCACGGCTTATTTCGATTCTTAGCAGTACTTTTGCACGGGAGTGTAATATGTTGCAGAGGCTTCTGCTGCTAGAAGGGATTTCCGAGAGGACATTTCCGCTGATGCAGATGATTGTGGATTGCACTGGGGACTTTCAGTTGGCCGCGTGCCTCTTTGCACGTATCGGGGCACGTGATGCGCGTTCTGCTTCTGTTTCTAACACCTCAACTCCGCTGGATGCTTCTCTACAGGACCGCGTCGATGCAGCAGACAGGATAGGCGCTGTCAAGTCGGAGTATTTAGCCTCTCCGTGGGATTTGTGGGCGGCTGCCTACCGTACATTCCTGAACGATGAGGAGGAGTTTGTCAAGCGCACCATGTTTGACTTGGCGTGTCAGCAGTTGCGCGAGTCTCACGTCCTTCAGCTCCCACCGCAAACAACGACCCATCAACGGCAGCATGAGCGACTGCGGTATCCAGAAGTACAGTTCTACTCGCGACGTTTTTTTCAACCTTCTCTCTCCAGTTTGTCGCCATTTAAAGGCGCCCTGAGTGCCAAAACTGACCCCCTCCAACATTGTGCACTTTCCTATCCGTTGCTTGCCACCGGCCATTCTCACTGCTCTGTCTGCTCGTCCCTCGTGTACTTGCGGTCGTCGTGTGCCCAGGACAGCTTGGCATGGTGTACCGCGTGTCTGCATGGTGGGCACGCGAATCATCTTCAGGAGTGGTTTTCAACTCATCGCAAGTGCCCGGTGTATGGATGCAGCTGTCGTTGTGAGCAGGTAGGGACCGAGTCATACGGGGAAGGGGGTAGAGCTGCCTTTCGATAGTCTTTTGCATTCATTTTGGGTGTATTGGCCCATATTTACTTTTTTATAGATATGTTCCTCTCTGTGTGCGTGTCATTTGTCAGTGAAAAAATAATAGAAAAAAAAAAGAAATAAATTACTTGCCTTTTCTATTATTATTATTATTATTTTTCCCTGTTGGTGTGCAGATTTACATACAAAAAAAAAAAAAAAAACAACAACTTATTTACGTCCTTTTCTCCTTTTTTTTTTCTTCCCTTGACTCTTTATCACAGCTCCTGTTGTGCCTCCCATGCGTTGAGGGATTGGAGCGACCTGAAAAAGGGAAGAGTGGCGAATATAATTATAAGGGAAACAAGGCGCAGCGGGAACATAAAAAAGAGAGAGAGAGAGAGAGAGAGAGGGAGGAAAACCAAACAAACAAACAACATCAAAAAGAAAGAAGAGTGAGTGTGAGGGACAAAGTTGTAACACGCATGAGAAATGTATCCACACGCTGTTGCAGCAACAACAACAACAAAATCAATAGGGGGATTGCTACTGTTAAGGGCCCCGATGGTGGAATGCCCTTCTCTGACATCTTACTGGAGATACGACGTCGTTTGCGGTACCAAAAAGGTCTGAGCGCCACAAGAAAGGAAAGTTTGTTACGTGAATGTCATCACTTTGCGGCAATGGAGCAGGCGAAAGGAAAAGGAGCTTCCTTCAATCACTCACGCCTTGTTTCCAGCCCAACAGGGATACAGCACACCACCCGTAGGAATAGCAGTCATGGAGGCCGCAAGAAAAACTCCTTGTTTCATGTTCTTCGACGCATGGCCGAGTTCATTGCATCCACAGGAGAGTACGGTGATCCTCTTGTTCCCCTGCAGGGCGGTTATGAGCAACTGACGCCGGCAAACGGACTTCGGCGGAGTGAGCTTGTGCTGCGATACACGGAGGCCGCATTGTCCATTTCAAATGACCGGATGGCATCTATCGTGACGCTTGCGTTTGGTCGATGCTCCCACGATGACGAAAATATAACATCATTGGGCACAGATGCACTGCCGTTGGACTCCGGAAGTGAGAATATGCCGATGAATGGAGAGGAGGAGAAGGAGGAGACCTCGTTTTCTCTGACGCGAGATGACGATGATGACGCAGCGGCTCCGTTTACTTCACTGGAGGCGGTGGCGTTGCTACGGTGGTGCGCGTGGCACATGCGAACCGCATTGAACGGTCTGCAGGATAACGGGCCGCAGTTGATGGAGTGCATTCAGCTAGCGGTGACACTGATGTCACGATTTCTACGCTTTATAGTTGACATTGGGTTGCAGGGCGGTGCCGTGGATAGTGCCGTGGATGAGCTGGAGCTGAGTGACATGGGGTACGCTGTAGCCGACCAGGTGTTGTTATTGCTTTATTCTTGCGCGCCTCTTCGTGCCCGTGGTTGCTTTCCGTCATTTTCCTTTTTTCCATCGCTTGCTGTGGGATCATTTCACGAGGACAATGACGGAAGCGGCACCAACCGTTTGTGTCTCGGGGAAGCAGCTTGGGCGGGTGGTGACGATGAGACCTGCGGTGGACATGATGGCAATCATCATCGTCATCATCATGGTACAAGTACGGCCGCTGATGACAGATGGCGCAGCCTGCGCATCTCTGAGGACGCTCAACAGGCCTTTCTCTGCAGCCAACGAGAGCGATGGGAGCGTGCACTGAAGTTTTTGCTGCGAACACAGCGTTGGAATGAATGGGTGGATGCAAGTTTAGATACGCCTCCACCTGCGGAGAAAAATGAAGAAGAGAATGAGACGCTTGCGGCGGAGGAGTTGCGAACTCTCTTGGCATTACCAATGTCTGTCCTTCAGACGCTGAAGTATGTCCTTGCGCAGCACGGTCAGTGGGGCATCTGCAGGGCACTATGGAAGGAGACGGTGCGCAAACGTTTTCAAGAGACACCATCCTTGTCTACTTCTACCGACTCGTCGCTTTCGCCGTTTGCGGCATTGCATCATCCTTTCAATGTTGATAATATCATCACTGCACTGGCTTTTGTAAATGCGAGGCCGTCTTTATCGTCAGCGGCGGCGACAGAAGGGACGAAAGACGCCCCGGATCTTTCGGCGAGACTGCTGCGGCTACTGCTGCAATTGGGTGTTGTGCCAAACCGTCCTCTTTCCGCCGCGGAGTTTGCAGCACTCCTGCGGCAGTCATTTGGACTTCCGTTGGGTTGTGGCCCTGTGGAGGGAATTTTGTCGCCGTCGTTTGTCTGGCGCCGAACGGCAACACATCCACACCGTGTTCGCGCGACACTGTGCATCCTCTGCTTTCAGCTCGTCGTCAAGTGTGGGTTGACCCACACGTTGGAGGTGGAGGATTTGTACGTCGTGACGAGCATCTTGCGACAGTTCCTTCAAGGACAGTTTCGGCGAGGAGTCACTCGTGCCCCAGCCGCCGCCTCCGTCTCAGAGGAGGGAGGCGACGAGGGGGAGGAGGAGGAGGAGGATGGTCGCTATCGCATCGGAGAGAATCTTGCGGAAAAGGATGGGGAGAGGGCATTGGGGCTGCTTCCGGTGGCATTTGCCGCTGCCACTCGTCGTACGAAGATGATAGCAGCGGAAGCCCATATTGTTGCCATTACGGAGGTGTTTCTTGCGCGCCGACGGGAAATTCTTCCTTTCAGGGATGAGGAAGCAGAGGAGGGCGCCAAAAGGACGGGAACAAACATGGATCCACAATTGGATTCTCTGCACACCGCTGCGACCACCGTTGTTGTTGCTGCTGCTACTGCTGCTGCTGGCAATAATAGCAAGGAGAAAAGGACCAATAAACGAAAAAGCCAAAGTGCTGTCATACTTTCCCTTTTGTCGCGGGAGATCATGGCACTTATGGCTATGGCACCTTATGGCAATGCAGTTGGAAGAACATGGCAAGTGGCGCTGTGCGCCATCTCCAGTGAGGTTGAGCGGGATGTCCTGGATAACTGCTCTGTACGCGCTGTGGAGGGTCTTGCTAGTGCAATGGCGAAGAGTGTGCTCGAGCCTGGTGGTATTCAGCTTCTTGAGCCAATTTTGCTTCTGGCACCGTATTTGTCACCTTTTACTGTAAGCAAGATTATACAAAGCCCAGTGGGAAGTCTGCTCACGTGGGAGCAGTCTCTGAGGCTTCTTCCATGCACACCATGGGCCTCAAACATACAGCGCCGCTTATTGCGTCGTGTTGTGCAGGAGCGAGATGCTAGCGAATTACCCAGCGTGCAAGGTCTGATACAAGCCATCACACTTCCGCCCCGGCTACTGCATGCTTACCCGACGCTTATTACGGATATGCGCATGTTAACAATACTTGCCGAGCGAAACTGGTCCCGTGCGTTGGAGGCGTATACAAGTTCCGATTCTAGGGTACAATGGGCCTGCGCACCTCACGTTATGCGGCTAGCCATCTTAGCGGATGTGTGGCACTCTCCAAATGGTAGTGGCTGCGAAGCGCTTCGTTCCGTGTTGTGGGTGGCCGTTAGGGCGATTGGTGGGGAACGTGTCGCGGAAGAAGTCTTGCACGCCAGCCTGAGGCGCGGAATGTGGGCCACCGGCCTTGCCTTTCACCAGTTACTTCAAACCGAGCAGCCGGAAATGCTGCGGAAACACCACAGGATAGAGGCGTACGGGGCCTTACTTTGCAAGGGTCTCTTGTCACAGTCTGCCTTGACCCGCACCATTGCAGAGGTGCTGAAGTGGGCGAGGGGAGCGAAGTGGGCAGAGGCGTCCGATGCATTTATACGCTATGCGGAGGAGGGGAACTTGAGTTCAGGGCAAACAATGCGGGAATCGAGGGAAATGGCTGTCGTTGGTGCGCCTCCGTCCAATTGGGCTGCTCTGTTTCCCGCGAGTGTTCCTTCCCAATTGTCACACATTGCACACACCGTCCGCTACAGTATGTTGTGCACTCCGGGCAGGTGGAAGCATGCGTTGGCGTGGTTTCCTCCACACACTTTGCCTCTGCCATTGCATCACCGCCTTCATCTGCATTTGCTCACGGGAGCAGTGGCTGACTTCTCCGAGAATGAGAGCGTGGAAAATGCGAATGAAGGATCCGTTATACACGGAGTCCATGGGAAGGCAGAGACGGCATCTCGTCTTCTTCCTTCACCAATCTCCATGTCGTTGGTACAGATTGCGCTTCAAGAGAAGCTCCACCGCACAAGGAGACCCACAGATGAGGCTTCGGCTGAATCTGTCGAGCAAACCCTGCGGGTTCTGCAGAAGCGAGGCCAATGGGAGCAGGCAATGGTGGTATGTGAACACGCTTTTGCTAACCGTCGCTTTCCGCACTCGTCCAGTTCTATTTTGTTGGCCGCGTGTACCTCATCATGGGAAGTGTCGCTGAGTTGTTTCGCACACTTGACGGGGCGCATGCGGCCTGATGCAGCCACGGCGGCGTTAGCCCTCAAGGCATGCATCAAAGGTCATCAGTGGGTGCTTGCCCTGCGCATTTTTCGGCAAAGTGTGCTCACATCCGCCACGCCACCCCCGCGAGTGGTGACTTATGCCGTGAGAGCGGCACTGGTCTCTGGGGCGTGGCAGGCTGCTCTGCGTGTGGTGCGACGGTATCAGGGCACCACCAGTCCTTTGCTGGCGAACACCGTTATGCAGGCGTATGTGCATTCTGAATGCTGGAATGACGCGGTGGAATACTTTTACGAATGTGTGAAGCGCGGCATATGCCCATTGGATGAGTCGCTTGCGATGGCCATTACGGCCAGTCAGGCGGTGTCAGCGGAGTACCGTGACGCCGCGCGCGTCGTCGGGGCAATCGCGTCCGCGCTGGAGGACTTCTGTCACGTGCACGGTGTGGTGCTGGAGCACGTGGTCGTGGTGTATCGAGAGATGTCCCCTGGGCCCATTATTTGCTCTGATCCACACGTTTCCCTCGTCTCCCTCGCACGCACACAGCGCCTCTCCTGCCATGAGTACTGCCGTGGATTGTGGCGCGTGTGACTCTCCACCCTCGGGGAGTACTCTCCGCATAACATGAATACACACATATATTAATACACCCACAGGCAATATATATATATATATATTTTCTTTTGTGTTTTTTCGTTTGAAATATCCTTTTATTTTTATTTTTATTTTTTTTTTGTTTTCTTTTTTTGTTTAAGTGTGTTTTTGCGGACCGAGAACTGCTTCTCGCCTGCGTCGTGTTGCAAGTCTCCTGGGAGTGCGTGAGTGGCGGTTGATTCTGTGCACCGGCAGCCGCATCGACAGGAGGAAAAATACGGAGAGGGTGAGAGGCGCACCCCCATCACAAAAACAGACAAATACACACAAATAGAGAAGGAGAGAGCGAAAGGGGGAGAAATAAAAACCAGAGAGAAAAATAAGAAGAGATGTCACAGACGCGTACATTTGTCTTTATAACAAATATTCCCGACTTTTTGTTGGAGCCGCTTTCAACCGCCAGCACGAGTGCCACGATCCGCAGACGTGAAAATCGTGATCCGCTTTACGAGCGGCTTCGTGCTCTGCTGGCGGCAAACACGTCTGGCGTGATGCTTGTCATGCATCTCCAGACGCGTGGTTACGCTCTTGCCTTGTATGCATCGGAGAAGGAAGCTCTCGAGGCGTGCAAGACAAACATCGTTCCAGAGCAACCCGGGCACAAATACTCACCGCTGCTTCTCCGCATTCTTCGGCGCGAACGGCCGGCGCCATCAGAGGCGGTGTACACGCCCACGCTGACAGTGGAGGGCGAGGTTGTGCAGAAGGCGGAGTTGGCGGACACGCGTGGTCTCGAGTTGGTGTACCGCGGTCGTGCTGTCGCCAAGTGGTGCCCACACACCCTTGCAAGGGAGGATTGCCTCTTTGGAACGGCATGCTACCGCCTACACAAACGCGCATACCAGAAGACCGTCCTCAAGCGGCCACGTCTGGGGGAGGCTGTGGTGCATCACATGACACCGGAGGAGAGAGCGTTGGTGCACCGCATCTCATGCAACACACGTCGCGCGGAAGAGTGTGTCATCCCGGCGGAGATGCGTATCGACTTCTCTCTGCATGTTTCCCTGACGCGTGACGAGGCGGAGGCACTTGTGGATGACGCTGCTGGTGTGGTTCCCGCCTCTGTGCTTCAACGAGTGGAGGCTGCCTGCGCCGGACATGGTGGACCATATTTTGTGAAGTTTGATTTTCCCGGCGGCGCGCCGTGGGACTGGAGTTTGCATGATGATAGAGAAGGCCTCCCACGGCTTCGGCAGCGTCTGCCTTTTCCTGAAAACGGTGCTCCTACGCCACTCGAGCGAGACATCTTTTGCCAGCAATTGCTGTATCACTTGAATCAAATGAATCGCTTTGAAACGATTTCCTCTGCCCTTCGTGCCCTTGCACACAGTCCGAAGGTGCAGGAGGCCCTGCGGCGCGTTGCGCAAAATCCAAGGGTGCATGAGGGAAAACCCGAAGAAGGAGAAGGAGGCGCGGTTGCGTTGGGACTATGTATACGCCCATGGCTTTTTCTGCCTACCGTCGGTGTGGAAGTAAGTGTGCTGTTGGAGAGCGGGGGCGATCGGGTGCGGGGGATTGTGCAACGCCGCAGTGCGCTGCGCCTCATGACATGCTTCTCGTTCCTGCAAAAACACGGGATGAACTTATCACGGTACGCCGTAATTGGTAGCGGCCAAGACGTGTACGCGGAGGAATCTTTGGAGGCGGAGATGCGGCGTGTGGAAAAGGCTGTAAAACGCGCCGTGGAAGGGTTGCGGCAACATTTGCGGCAGCAGGTGTCACGTGGAGGACAACTGCCATCGAACGCGGCGTGGTGCTTTCAGCTCGCAGTGATGCCATCAACGTCACCATCGTCCGTGGCGGCGGGTGAGGATGCTGCTGAGATGCGATGTGTGGTGCTGTCAATGAAGCCGTATGAGGAGGCGTTTGAGGAGTTTACGGCGATGCATCCCTCCTTGATGCGGGATGAGGCGGTCACGGACGTGATTTGGAATACGAAGAGGCACACGTACGTCGCCCTTTTCCCGCGCGAGCTGATGGAGCGGTTGAAGGAGGACTAAATCGTAGTGGTGGCACGGAGAGGAGGGGAAACACGCACGCGTCTACCACTTTGAGGGCAAAAAGGAAGTTTTTTTTTTTTTTCTTGTTGTTCTCGCGTCTAATTTTTTTCTTTTCTGCACATGTCCTTTTTTTTTTTTTCTTCTTCTTTGCTTGGCTCTTTTATACTCCTCCCGCCCCGCAGCACAACGAGGGAGGGCGAGTGCACAGATCACACCTCAAAACACCCACGCACGTGCGGACGCCATGTCGCCGAAGAAACGCTCCCGCAGCAGCCCAAAAGCGGGTGTGACTGCGACGCAGGCATTGGACGCGGCACATATGATTGCTACCGCCATGAATGCGGCGAATGCGGATACTCCGGTTACTACAGGAGGCGGCGGCGGCCATTGCGGTGCCTTCGCACCGTGCGGGCCTGCAGAGTCCGGTGTGACGCACGATGAGAAGGACGTGAAGGCACGCGGTACTGTAGAGCAAAGGCCGAAACTTCCGTCTGATCTTGAGGGACTTGTCTTGCACTCCACGGTGATTGCGCCTGATGTCATCGGCATTCGTTGCATGGCCGCGCACCCAAATGGGATGGAGATGATTGTGGTGCGGGAGGACGGCTCTATTGTTCTGTACGGCATTGACATTTTTCAAAATGTGCCACACTTTGAGCGCATTCGCCACACTGGAGGCCGCGTGAATCGTACCATCACACGTGTTCGTTATTTGCCTTATGGGCGGTCTTTGTTTCTTGCATCGTATCTTTCCGGCCAACTGGTGGTGTACTGCGGAGAGACACTCTCTCCGTTGCACGTGCATCAGCGCACTGGTGGCGCCATTTGGGATTTCTGCGTCGTTGGCGAGTGCATATACGCTGCCATGGCGGACGGTTCATGGCAGCAGCTGCGGGCAGAAAACAACGGGTCCGTGCCTAAGCTAACGATGCAGCGCATCATCCCGAAGGTGTCAGGCGCCGATCGGGCCTTGAGTGTCTGCGGTTCGGAGCAGTGGGCGATTGCTGCGGGGACCGATGATGCGGGGAACGTCGTGGCATGGCGTCTACCGCGTGAGGAAGAGAGAAGCGACAACAATACCACCGCCACAACAAATAACAACAGGAGGAGGGTTGATAATATGAATAATAACCCGCCTGGGGGTCGTCCAATAAGTCTCAGCGATCATGAGGCGCTCTGGACAAGTCGTCTTCCAAAAGGCATGGGATTATGCTGTGCCGTCAGCGGTGGCGTAAATGGTGGTGCTCCTGTTGTGGCGGTTGGCACTTCGATGGGGGACGTTGTCCTGTTCGACGCGCGGCATGGGCATGTGCTGAAGACCTTCACGCACCACAAGGGACCTGTCAGCACGCTGGTGAGCAGCGGTGGGGTTTTGTATGCGTCAGGCTGGCATGAATCCCTACGTTCCTACCGTTGTGCTGCAGATGGTGAGTGGTTTCCGGCGGAGGTTAAGCGACGCACACATTACCATGAGGCGAGTGAACTACTTGTTCAGGAACAACAACAACTTATCTTCTCCGCTGCACGTGATGGCACAGTGATGTACGCACCGATTGGATCTCTCTTTACATCACCTGCGATGTATCTTTCTGTAACGACACAACAGTTTGCCTTTGCAAAATCAAAAAATGTACTTCTGCAGACACGTCGTGGACGGATCGAGGGATTCCGCACCGATGCCGCGCTACGCCACTGGATGCCGTTGTTTGCTTATAAAGTTTACGGCAAGTTTCACATTCAAGGATTGTGGTGTGATGAACGACTGCATTACATGCTCTTTGCCACAGATGAGCGGGCAGCGCTGTTACGTGTGTGCTGGCGGGATGGAGCAGAGGATGCCCTGAAGCTGGGCCGCATTGAGGAAGTGGTGGCACTGCCTGCCGGACGCGGGGTGCTGGACTGCTGTTTTACGCAACACAACGATAAAAACAGCGACGCCGCAGCCTGTGAGAGCTGCTACATGTTACTAGACGACACGGTTGTACACATTACTTTGGCGGAGGGTTATCCTGTCGTGGCGACCTCGATACGGAGCTCCGACGCGGAGTCGGTTGTTGATATCCGCCCGAATCGTCTGTTGCTGGACACGGGTAAAAATAACAGCATCACGGTGTGCGGGCTACGTGGTCGTCTCACCTGCTGCGTCGCACCAGATGGCACCATTGACCCCAGTAGTTTTGTTTGGAGCCAGGAATCGACACGAATGGCGGTGTCGGTGCCCGCGTTGCGTCACCACTCACCTTCAACGTTTGTTGCGCTCACGAACAACACGCGGTACATGGCGGGGTTGGGAACACGTTCGCCTTCTCTTTTGCCTCGTACCCTTCCACACGATGTAAGGTTTATTGCCCGAATTCCTCCTCTAGACAAAAGTGTGGCGGGTTTCAAGCATGAGACCCTTCGTTTTCTCGCCTGCTTTTCTCGCGGTCTGATGTACGTGACGGAGAGTTCATGGTACATGCTGCAGCGCTGCAGCGTGGAGGCCGCTTTTGTTTTGGATGGAGACGAGCAGTTGCTGCTGCTGGTACGTAATCTTGAGGGGACGCTAGAGGCCCTTCCCATGTGCTGGAAGGTGCGGCGTTTTGGCAATTAGGCCTCAAGCAGAGGCAGAGCGAACACACAAGCAAGCCATATATGCATTTAAGACAAAAAAAAAAAAAAGGAACAGAATGGAGTCTGTCGTGTTTTGTATATATTTTTATATACACATACAAATACATATATTTATAGGTGTGTGCGTTTCTTTAAGAAGAGACATAACGTGGTGGAATGCGTGAGAGGAAGAAGGGGAAGAGGCCGATGTGAGAGATGTCCACAGCGATAAGAAAACAAAAAACAAAAAAACAAGAACCAAAGAAGGAGGAGGGGGGGGGGGAAATAGCAGATAAATAAATTCGTTTAATCGGAGATATGTTGGCACCACATTTGTGAGAGAGAGGCGCGGTGGAATCGGCGTGAAATGCGGCAGCCACAAAGTTATGGAGGAGAAGAGCTCTTTGGTCCATATTTTTATAATGTCATGTCCATTGGGTTGCTGTTTTTCCTTCTTTTTATTATTATTATTGTCTACCTGCCTGTCTGCCTGCATCTTTGCTGGAGTTTCCTCTTTTTTTTTTTTTTTTCTTTTCTTTTTTTTTTCTCATGCCGTTTATGTGCCTGAAGTTCCGCGCGTGTTGTGTTGTGTTTTGAGTAGCCGCCGCCAAACAGCACCGGGTTCCTTCAGGATGCCACCAAAGAAGAACGCGAAGCCCACCAAGCCGGCGCCCAAGAAGGGCAAGATGGAGAACATGAACAAGGGCGCTAAGAAGGCCGCAAAGAAGTGGTCGAAGGGTCGCACACGTGAGGCTCTGCAAAACGCCGTTGTGTTCGACAAGGAGACGATGGACAAACTTCTCAGCGAGGTGCCCAAGTACAAAGTGATCACGCCATCTATCATCAGCGATCGCCTGAAGATCTCCGTCGCCCTCGCCGCCAAGGGCCTGCAGCACCTCTGCAGACAGAAGCTGATTAAGCTTGTCTCCTGCAGCAGCAAGTTCCGCCTGTACAGTCGTGTCTAGGTGGGCTCGCATGAATGGAGGAAAAGAGGGGACTCTACAGGAATTGGGAAGAGAGACAGGAAGGGATAGAGAGGGAGAGAAAAAGACGTGATGGCGATGGCAAAAGGAATTCAAAGAGTAAATAAGAGGGAATTGCCATCATTTTATCTCAGTGCTCTCCTTCCCTGCCTTTTTTTCCTTTTTTGGTTTCGCTGTGGCTTTGGTGTGCGGTCTGAAAGGGGTTTTGCTTTGGATTGCCCGCCAGTTGGGAGGAGGAAGAGGAGTGCGCATGTGCGGAACAATGGGAACTCTTATTTATTTATTAATATTATTTGAGGTGGCAGTAGTGCGAGTGTGTTCTTGCAACACATTTGAGTGGATGAGTCACACTCGGCTTTGCCTGCTTTCTTTTTCTTTTCTTTTTTACTCTTTCCTTAACTGTACCCCGATGGGTACGGAGACGGAAAAGAAAATTAAAAACGAGGATGGAGAAGGATTAAGAAAGAGAGGATAAATGGAAACCCTCTTCTCCGCCAATTTATTATTTTTTATTTTTTCATGTACACCCGGATATAACATGCATGCATACATGACGTTTCCCCCCCTCCCCCCCCCCCCCTTTTTTTTTTTTTTCCTTCTTGTGCTTGTGCATGTGTGTCTGGTACAGTAGGAAGTGCTGCTGTTTGCTTTTGGCTGGATTGTGTGTGTATACACTGTACACCCATACATAAATATATACACTTAAGTAATTATTGATTTACTTTCGAAGGATGTTGACCCGTCTTCGCAGTGCAGCTTTGCGCGGGGCCGCCGGTACACGCGCCGCCTCAGGGATGCCTACCGCCGATCACAAGGGCCGCGTCGGCTACGTGTCGCAGGTTATCGGCGCTGTTGTGGATGTACACTTTGCGGAAGGCGTGCCGCCGGTGTTAACTGCTTTGGATGTGGTGGAAAAACTTGGCCGTGACGAGCCCTTGACACTTGAAATTGTGCAGCACTTGGACGCCCACACCGGCCGTTGCATTGCGATGCAGACGACAGATCTGCTTAAGCTGAAATCGAAGGTAGTCTCGAGTGGCGGGAACATTTCTGTGCCTGTGGGTCGGGAGACACTTGGCAGAATCTTCAATGTGCTGGGCGATGCCATTGACCAGCGCGGCCCTGTTGGAGAGAAGCAACGCATGCCTATTCACGCTGTGGCACCAAAGTTGGCGGATCAGGCGGCAGAGGACACCATTCTCACAACGGGTATCAAGGTGATTGATCTGATTTTGCCCTACTGCAAGGGTGGGAAGATTGGTCTTTTTGGTGGTGCTGGCGTGGGCAAGACGGTTATTATCATGGAACTTATTAACAACGTTGCCAAGGGCCATGGTGGGTTCTCCGTCTTTGCGGGTGTTGGTGAACGCACGCGTGAGGGAACGGATCTTTACCTGGAGATGATGCAATCCAAAGTTATTGACCTGAAGGGTGACTCGAAGTGTGTGTTGGTGTATGGTCAGATGAACGAGCCTCCGGGTGCCCGTGCTCGTGTGGCGCAGTCTGCCTTGACAATGGCCGAGTACTTCCGTGATGTGGAAGGGCAAGACGTGTTGCTTTTTATCGACAACATTTTCCGCTTTACGCAGGCAAACTCTGAGGTGTCAGCGCTGTTGGGTCGTATTCCCGCTGCCGTCGGCTACCAGCCTACCCTTGCTGAGGATCTTGGACAGTTGCAGGAGCGCATTACGTCCACGACAAAAGGTTCCATTACCTCTGTGCAGGCTGTGTACGTGCCAGCCGATGATATTACCGACCCTGCGCCAGCAACGACCTTTTCCCACCTCGATGCCACGACGGTGCTGGACCGTGCCGTTGCCGAATCCGGCATTTACCCCGCTGTCAACCCACTGGAGTGTGCCTCGCGTATCATGGACCCGGATGTGATCAGCGTTGACCACTACAACGTGGCGCAGGATGTGGTGCAGATGCTTACCAAGTACAAGGAGCTGCAGGATATTATTGCGGTGCTTGGCATTGATGAGCTCAGTGAGGAGGATAAACTTATCGTGGACCGTGCGCGTAAGGTGACAAAGTTTCTCTCCCAGCCTTTCCAGGTGGCGGAGGTGTTTACTGGCATGACAGGCCACTACGTGCAGCTGGAGGAGACCATTGAGTCCTTCTCCGGCCTGTTGATGGGCACATATGATCAGGTGCCGGAGATGGCGTTCTACATGGTGGGCGGCATCACGTCCGTGCTGGAGAAGGGGAAGAAGATGGCAGAGGAGGCCGCAGAACTTGAAAAACTTCGTCGTGCCCGTGCCGCCCAGGCAGGCCAGAAGGAATAGGAATGAATGAGATGTGGAGTGGGTGGGTGGGAGGGATAGAAGGGAAATACACACACGGAAGCCCGGGGTAAGTGTATGTATATAATATGTATGTATGTATGTATCTGTTTATATATATATATATATGTGTGTGTGTGTGTATGTCAATGCCGTGCTGATTTCCATGCGATGACAAGGAGGGCCTGGCAACGGGAGGCAGAAAAGAAGCCCGGAAGTCACGAAAAAAAAAAAAAAATAATAAAATAAATAAATCCCTTTTTCTTTCCCCCTCCCCATCCCCTCTCCTTCCTTTAACTCCCTTCACCAAATCGTAAATAATAATAAACAATATATATATATATATATAAGGAAAAAAAAGGAGAAACGGAAGGAAGAAGAATAAGAGAGCGAAAAAAGGAAAAACCAACCAAACCAGAAAAAAAAAAAAAAAAAAGAAAGAAAAATAAAATAAATTAGGATTGCCTTGGAGAGACACATACTTTTCCCTCCCCCCTCTGCATCCGCCCCGTTTGTTTGTCATGCGTGATGTGTGGAAGGAGAAGAAATGACGTTTTGTGTATTTGCGAAGGGGGGGGGGGGGGGGGGGAAATCAAACGTGCACACGTACAGAGGCGAGTGGTAATGGGACATGCAAACATAAACACACACACACATACGGGTGCGTACACGTGCGTGCTTTATAGCGCTGAAAAGGGAACATGCGAAGAAGCGAGGGTGAAGGGAACAAACCAACCAAAAAAACTGTGGGGGGAGATGAGATGGGAGAGGGGTGTAGGGGAGAGGAATATGGATATTTATTTTTATTTTTGTACATATGAAGCACATACACACAAAAAAAAAAGAAAAAAAGAAAAAAAAAATGAAGAGTGAGAAGAGGCGAGCCGTAGCAGCAGAACTGTTTATTATTATTATTATTATTATTATTATTTATATTTATGTAAGGAAGAAAACCCTTATAACTTTTTTTTTTTTCCCTTTTTCCATTTGTTTTCATTTGTGTCCCCGTTGCCAATGACGCCTGACACTACCGCCAACACGAGGAGGATGTAACGAGAGAGAGAGAGGGCGGGAGAGAGAAGGAGGAGCATACATGCATGCATGCGAGTATGTCTGCATTCGGCGTGGAGGCGATGAGGAAACGAGGATGGATAGAAGAGAGAGAGAGAGAGAAAAAAAAAGAGAAAATGAAGGGAGAGGTGGTGAGGTGGGGAGTGGGGAAGTGAAGAAGACAGAAAAAAGAAGGATGAGAATGAAGAATATAGCCCGAAGGAGCAAGTTGGAGGCAGAGCAACACACCGCTGCCGATGGTGTGTATAGATGTGTTGGAGGATCATATCTATTTTATAATATAAATTTTTTTTTTTTTTTTTTTTTTTTTGCGGAGGAGGGGGAGGGGAAATGCCTTGTGATATGTGTGTGCGTTGGTGATTTATGCGTGGCCAACGGAGGGCGCATCTTCCACTCTTTTTCTTTTCTCTTCTTTTCTCTTCTTTTCTCTTCTTTTCTTTTCTTTTTCTTTTTAAAGAAGGAAATCAACCGCAGTGGAAGCAGCTTGCAGTTGGTGGTGAAGAGACGCTATTGGCGGGTTTCTTTTCCACACATATTTATATTTCCCCTCCTACCCTAACCCCTTTATTTATTTATTTATTTACGTGTGTGCATTGCCATTGGGAAGGGGAGGGAATTATAACTCGTGTAATTTCTTGTAGGGAGAGTGTAGTGGTATTATTATTATTATTAGTAGTAGTAGTGGTAGTGGGAAGTCAACAAATAAAACAAATAAAACAAACAAAACAAAAAACAAACACAACAAAACACAACAAAACAAAAAGGAAATTAGTACGTGTGCATTCTTCTTTTTCTTCTTCTACTTTTTCTTTCTTTTTCTTCTACTTTTCGCGTTGTGTCGATGTTGAACTGGTGGTTGATAGTACTTTTAATATTTGTTGTAATTCTTTGCGTCGGGCTTAGTGTTTATTTATTATTTTATTTTACCTCGGAGGAAGATGATGGTGAAGCGTATGGTGCGAAAGTTATTGTTGTAATTGGCATGGTAATTTCCATGGGTGTAGTATTACTTTTACCATTAGATGTTGCAAATGCTGTTGATCCTACAATATCAAATAAATATAAGAATACATTAAATATGACACTTATGTGGCAAATTGTACTTTGGCTTTTATTTTGTATGACATTTATTATTGTACCATTTGTAATGTTTTTTTATGAAGCATATGATCCAGATAATAATCGAATAAGTAAACAAATTATACAAGCTATTATATATACAATAGGGATATTAAGTATATTTTTTATTATATGTGGTATATGTTATACATTTATAGGGGTAACGATTATACCTATTTTAACATATGAAGGATTTCCTCAATTTATTTCAGATATTCAATATATTTCATATAATGGTACAGGAATATTTATAAATATAGAAATTCCTGTTAATTTTTTTACATATTGTGTAGGTATCATGTGTTTTTTTGGTTGGATTGCTTTTTTTATTTATGGAGGTTTAGGAATTATATCTTTTCCTTTAGATCTTATATTTGGTTTTATAAAACGAACAAAATCTATAAATAATTATCATTTTAAAGAAGAAATGAATATAATTGCTTTAAAAGGAGATATTTTATTAAAATTATCTTTAAATTTACAAAAAAAATGTCGAGGAATTATTTCAATTTCACAACGAAATAAAATTCATATATTACGTAATGAAACTTATATACTTGAAGCTCAACAAGAACAATTAATATGGGCTTATACAAAAGCAGGTGGTTCCCCTTTTATTATTTATGGACGTCTTTTATTAGGAATTATTTCTTTATTTATTTCTATTATTTGGATTTTACATATTTTTATTTATAATACATTTCATAAATCTTCTTTTTTAAATCAAATTCTTATTTCATTAGATCATATTTTTGGACTTTTTGGAATTATTATATATGGTATATTAATATTTTATTTAATATGGATTAGTTTTGAAGGACAAGTAAGACTTGGTATGAGATTTATATTTTTTCAAATTTATCCTTTAAAACCACATGATACAACATTAAATGCATTTTTATTTAATATATCACTTTCACTTTTAATAAGTCCTGCTATTATAGAATTTGCTTCAAGATCTTTTCAAGAATATGGTCCAAGAACAACGATTAATGCTTTAATGAATATTTATGTATTACATTTAAAAGGAATTGGAATATTTATTCGTTGGGCAGATGTATGTTTTACCGGTATTTCTCTCTTATCGATAATATGGGTCCTCCTTTGCCCTGTACATAAGAGAATTAAAGATCCGACAAAATTGAGGTTATGAATTTAGAGAAAAAAAAAAAATGAGATATTTAATAATATATAAATAAATATATATATGTAGGTATATGTCTCCTTCTATTTCCCTTTCTTTATATACCTGTCTGTACCTGTCTATACCTATATATATACCTATATATACCTGTATATATATAGACATGTATACATCCAGTTGCGTGCATGCATGTATGGGAAGGAGGAGTACAAAAAGGGGGAATGTTTTTTTTTTTGTTTTTTTGTTTTGTTTCTTCTGCTTTTTGTCATTTACGCGTGTACATGTGGACCGGCCACGCCGTTAGTAATACAAACATAAATATATATATATATATATATAGAAGGGCATAATTGACCGAGCCCAGAAGACACAACATACACACAGACAACGCGGACACAGGCAGGTGTAAAGAAGAGAGAAAGAGAGAAAGAGAAAGAAAAAGACACAACACTCACACACACACGTACAATAAAATAAAAACAAATAAATAAATAAAGTGGTGACAAAAACAGCAACAACGAAAATTGGACGGGTGTGTGAGTGAGTGGGGGGTGGGGAGCAGGGGAGGGGAGGAGGTGCCTGCATTTACGTTCATTCATATTCATTCTCACTCAGTTTGCATACTCGCCGTGAGTCGGTGGAAGCGAGGCAAGTGGCTGCAGCCAGTGGTGAGAGAGAGAGAGAGAGAGAGAGAGAGAGAAGTGGAGTGGCACTGTGTGCGTCATATCGGAGACCTTTTTTTTCCCCCCACCCCTTTTCTCTCTCTCTTACACACACACACACACACGTACATTGAAGCGCACATTAACAAGACGTGCTCGGAGTACCGTATATATATATTTATATATTTATTTTCATTATTATTAAAACCTGCCATTTACGGCAGCGAGTCTTGTAGAGATGAGTTCCACATCGCAAGTGGCATTATTACCAAAACTTAGCTTGCCAGATGGTGTGACGGTGTGGGATGGGACGGCGCTTGAATATGAAAGACGCTGCAATAACATCGATGAGCATGCCGTTCACCTCATGCAGACCATTAATATTTTGGGAATACGAAGCAAAGAGGCGCAGTGTTTAAATACCGTATTAACTTCTGTCGCTCGCTTGCGGGAGAACAGGCAGGCGCGGGTGTATCTTTTGTGTCAAGACGGCTATGGTGTTGGTATTTTGAAGATGGGCGTGAAAAAGTTATTTGTGACGCACCCCTCATATTCATCGTTAGTGGAGATTGATCCACTGTGTGTGCTTGACTTTTTTGTAGACACCAGCTTCCAGCGAAAAGGGTTTGGAAAGACGCTTTTTGATGCCATGTTGCTTAATGAGGGTCTTAACCCAGGGGAGGTGGCAATCGATCGTCCCAGCGTAAAGTTTCTGGCATTCTTACGGAAGTACTACGGCCTGGTCGAATACACGCCACAGTCGAACAATTTTGTGGTGTTTCATAGGTACTTTGATAAGTGGCAACCACAGCGTGGGAAGGGGCACCGGGGCGGCAACGCCGTGCCCACTCGGTCTATTGTGCGGCCACAGAACTGCCTGCGGGTTTACCCCGAGTATCAGAGCACGACGGGGCCAAACGACAATTTTGAGGAGGATGCCACGCACCGCACACCACCACCACCACTGCCGCCACCGCTTGTTCCACAGGGATCTGTGAATTCGCCAGGGCCAGGGAAAAAAACGGCATATGAGTTACAGTATGAGGAGTACCTGAGAGAACAGGCCTATCGGAGACGGCAGGGGGGCGATCCAAGGCTTCAACCCGTTCCCAACCCGGTTTCCTCTTCGGAGATTGCGGCAGCAAGTTGTGGCGCCAGGCGTCGTATGTCACCGACGCGTAGTGGAGTTCAATACAATATCATTAGTGGTACTCCAGAACACTGATGTAAAGGAAAGGATAAGTAATGTAACGGATTCAAGATTTTTTTTCTTTTTGGGAGGGGAGGGGAGAAGGAGGGAGGGAGGGGGTTTTATTCTCGCCCTTCTATTTTCATTTTCATTTTTTTTTTTTTTTTTGTGCCTGCAAAAGTCCCTGTGTCTTTTTGCATCTCAGTTTTTCGAGAAGGATGTGGTTTGGGGGGTTGCCACGTCTTTTCTTTTTTTTTTCCTTGTGGGTTTCAGGGTCTGGCTGTGTGTTCTGTTTCATCACCGCCACACACACTGCAACTTCTCTCTCTCTCTCTCTCTCTCTATATATATATATATATATATTTGGTCAGATTGCCCTCCTCTTCCTCTTTTTTTTTCTTCTTCTTCTTTTTCCTTGCTGGTGGGTTTGTTCGTGGCCTTTCATCTTTACACCCTCTTTTTCTTTTTTTTCTTTCTTCTCTTTGTTTGGGAATGAGGGCTCATTTTATTTTCTCTTCCTTATTTGACGGCCTCCTCCCCGCACTTCTTCTCCCCCCTCCTCCCTCCCGACTTTTTTCCTTCTTTTTTGTTGTTGTTTGTCTGTCTGTTTGTTTGTGCATCTTTATTGTGATGGGATGTTTTATTTTTCTTTGTATATAAATACATACGCATGTGTGTGTGTGTGTGTGTGGTGCTGAGCCCATGTACTTTCTTTCTGTTTTTTTTTTTTTTTCTGTTTTTCTTTTCTGTTTTTCTTTTCTGTTTTTCTTTTCTGTTTTTCTTTTCTGTTGTGTGCTTTTCAGGGTGAATTATTGCGCTGCAAGGCGACAGAGAGAGGAGAGTTAACATCTTGTGATACAACATGCCACGGCCTTTTGGAGTTTGGGCGCCCGCCACGACCCTTGCGGAGTACCGGGCGCGTGTGCCGAATCTTTCGGCATTTTCATTGAAGTGGATATACTCGGCAAAGCGGGAGGTGTACTACCATCCCGAGGCACTTGCACATTTCAAGGATCACCAGCAGTACAAAGACGCCGTGGATACCGTCAGGGCAATGAGTGTTTCAGACAAGTTCTTTGGTGAGGGACAGAAGCTTCCGCGTCGTCCAGTGGTTAAAATGATGGGGGCATTACTTATTGAGGGCTTGTTGGTTTACGCTGTTATTCGATACTACTACGGTGTCTACGTGCCTGCCAACAATCCAACATGGCGTAAGGTGGTGAATAAGGAGTGGGAGGAGGCAATTAACACATCACCGTGGGATCACATGTCACATGTCTGGCAGTACAGTGATCAATATGCAGCTGTGATGGGTGACACCGCCTCGCCAGGACCGAGGAAGTTTTATATCCCGGCCTAATCATCGTCAGGACATTTCGTTTTTCTTTTGTATTCTCCCACCCTCTCTGTCTGTGTGTGGTAACCGTATATATATATATATATATGTATGTATATGTATTTAGCTTCTCTGTGGTGTTTCTAGGGGTTTTTATTGTTGTTGTGTGTATCATTGGTCGGGGGCTTTTTATTAATGCCAGGCGGTGTGGAAGCAGGCCGATCAGGGGAGGGGAGGGGAGGGATGTGGGAAAAGGAGGGGAGGGGGGGAATGCAAAAAAAGAAAGAAAAAGGAGAAGAGGAAAAAAAAAGAGAAAAAAACAACAACAAAAATACATAATGGATGATAGTAGCAGTAGATTGTGCCGAAGGAAAGAGGGGAAGGCACATCATTTAGGGTGTCATTTACGTTGAGGTACTTCTTTTTTTTTCTGATATTTTGTTGCATTTAACGGCAACACACACACGCACATACAAACACATTCTCTCTCTCTATGTGTGTATGTGCAGCTTTCTTTTCATTTTATTGCACTTTTCACTTGTTTTCAATTCCCCTCCCTTTTTCCTTTTCTTCTTTTGTGTGTGCGTGAAGGGTTTTTCCTCCAAAGTCACATTCCTAAATATCATCATCATCAACAACAACAACAAGTGGGCGAGAAATGAGTACTGCTTTGCGCCACCACTTGTGTTCTTCGTGCCGGTCCCTTCCCACGGCGGAGAAACGCCTGCAAAAAAAAGCTGCGGATCAACGGGAGGTTTGTGCCCGCCATTCTCGGAAAGACGTTTGATGTGTTCAACTCGGCGACGGAGGAGTTCTGCGCACGTGTGGCGGAGGTGGACGCCGCCGATGTGGAATTTGCCGTTGCAGCCGCCCAAAAGGCGTTCGATGCCTACCGCACCACGGACGGTTCGTACCGCCGCAGTTTAATGCTGAGACTGGCTGAAGACATTCATCGTCACCGCGAGCCGCCTGGCGCCGCAAGTCGATCTGATGCTGACGGAGTCGCGCCGCGATTGTTCCGGCGACGGCCCTTAGAACGTTCACGGCCCGCTTGTCTTGGCGCTCGTCAGCACGAGCGCTTGGTTGGCTACATTGAGAAGGGCAAGGCCGAGGGCGACAAGTGGGTGACAGGTGGAAAACGGTGCTGCGACCGGGGCACAGTTTGTGCAGCCCACCGTGACTCATCCAGGCAACGGACAGAATGACGGTGGCACCTGAGGGGATCTTTGGCCCCGTCACTTGCGTCGTGAAGTCCAAGACGTTGGGGGAAGCCATTGAGCGTACCAACAGCACCACGTGCGATCTTGCAGCGGGTGTCTGCACGCTAGAAGTTGAAGAGATCGTGCACTGCGCGTCCTGCGTGAAGGCGTGCACCGTGTGGGCGAAATGCTGGAACTGCTTCGATGCCACTATGCCCTTTGGCGGTTTCAAGCAGAGAGCTTGGCGAGCAGTGCCTGCAGCGCGACCCCGCGACCAAATCCCCGCACATTGCACTCAAGGGGCCGTTGGCGAAGAAGTGATTGGAGGGAGTGAGACCCCCAAATCCAACGGAGAAGCCTTTTTTTTTTTTAAATTAAATTCACGTGCATCTGAATTTATTGCAGAATATAAAGCCCTTTATTTGCTTGATTATGAATGATCTGTTGCCTTTTTTTTCTTTTATTCTGTATTGTTTGTTTTAATTATACCCAATTTTGTTATGCGTGTTATTATTATTATTATTTGTGGTCTTTGGCATTTTATTCGTAGTTTTTCCCCCATGTTTCCTCTCGCGCGGCGGAAGTGATGGCAAAGTTTGAATATGTATCATTGTTTCCCCACGAGGGAGGCCGGAAATGACTTGCCGGTACGTCTTTTCCTCTCTTTTTTTTTTTTTTTTTCTTTACGCCACAGTCACCTTCACGCCGTGGAGGCACCCAGCGAGAGACTCACACGCAAGGGAGTGTGAGAGGGAGGGAGCTGCTATCATCAAACTTCAAAGGCGAAGAAGAAGGAAAGATTTTTGTGGTGTGTGGGTGAAGGCACAGAAGAAACATTGCAGACACGGTCAGACGACATTGTGTGTGTGTGTGTGTGTGTTTTCGTTGGCGACTCGGGTGGGGCGTCACGGATGGTCATTGCGCAGGTGGAGGTCCGGCGAGTTTCGTTTTTAGCATGCAAGGAGGGGGAGGAGGTGGGTGCGGTGGATGCTCTGAGGCGATGCGCCGACGCCGAGGGGGATGAGGACACCGTTCAGTGCTTCCTGTCGCTCATTGCGCCGTCTGGCATAGAGTTGAGCTGCCATACCGCGCTGCCACATGAGACGTACACAGGGGAGGCGAAGGAGTTGAGGGTTTATTGTGCAACGAACGAAGATCTACAGGACATTTGGTTTTCGGTACGGGAAATATGTGGGACCCGTGCGGAATTGGACGGTGACAACGTGACACTGCCGTGCCGCCTGTGGTGCCTCAAGAGCACAGCGAGGCGACAGTGTCAGAGAGACACGGCAAGTGATGCCTCGTCGTGTAGTCACTACACTTTTTCTTTTTTAAATTCCTCTGGAAGCGACGAAGACGAGGACGGTGAGGATGCCGATGCGTTCCCCACGTCGAATTGGCAGCTGCTTGCCGAGGGCAGACTGCGTTTCATGGAGTATGGCCTGCAGACTGTAGAGTTAGAGATGGACCCTGTGGCAATGGACCGCTCGGGGGCTTTTGTGTCCGTGTTGTTTTTTGTTGCCCCACGTCTGCAGTGCACATTGGAGGAAACTGGGGCGAACTTGCTGGAGCAGGAGGACGACAATCCTCCTATGTGGATGCGTTTAGAAGCACACGAGAGCTGTGATCCTACATCTCTCCGAGACATCTTCTCTTCCGATGATGACGAAGATGAAGAGGAGGAAAAGGAGAAGGAAGATGCTGATAATGAAGGAGAGGAAGGGGAGGATTTGAAAACTTTTGTTGATTCTCATGCGGCAGCACCCAGTGAAGAAGATCTCGTGAATGTTTCTGATGTCTCTGAGGCTTTTGACGTTGAGGGTGCTGCAAATACTTCCGCCGAGCCCCCATGTGCCATGAGGAAGAGGAGCGGCGAGAGGGACGAGGCGGGTGCGGCTGCGGGGGCCGTGCGGGAGAGCGATACTCACGCGGAGCCACAGCGCACTAAAATGATGGTCCTGTCGTCTACATCCGATCTGCCTGAGCGCACCGCAGCACGGTGGGTGTTGTTTGTCGATATGGCGCCTTGGAATCTGCAAATGCCCACCGATGAAAAAAGCATTGAATATGCCTCAACCGGTGAAACTGGGAATGATTTTTGCGACACCGCCGAGAGATTGTGGCGGCTGACGTGTTGCAAGGCCGATGGACACGTGTTGGCCTGCGGCTCTTCTTTTTACGAATCAGTCTGCTCTCACCATGGCTGGTCTGACGTGATTGTGGCAATCGATGATGACATTCTAGCGGTTGCCGTTGTGTCATTGCAGCTGCAGGCTCTGCTGCCTGTTGAGGTTGGCGATGATGTCAACAAGAACAAAAAAGACGCTTTTTTGCCGTTGGAGAATAACGTGCCACTTCCAAATTGCCTAATGCGATGGGTGCCGGTGGCAGTGTCAACACAAATACCGATTGCGGATCTTCTTGTTTCATCTGCAGACGCATGCATGTATTCTGTACCGCTATATGCGACGACCACAGGCAAAACTTTTGCCCTGTCGTCTTTCTTTCCCTTTCGGAAAGGTAAAGCGTTGACGGTGCAGGCAATTTTGGACCGGTTGCCTGAAGTGGTAGGTACCTCTGACATGACGGGGTGGATGAAGGCACAACAACGCGTTGCCGCTCAATTCCATGAGGAAATGTCGGGACAGGTGCGTGGCCGTTATTTGCCCGAGGAGCAGCTCACAGTGCCCCGGTGCATAGACGCGGTCTATTCCGTTGCACTTCATGTGTGTTTTGCGGTCTCTCAGCAGCTGTGCCCTCATGTAGACATGGGTGTGGCATATCCTTTTGTCGCGCTCACTATTAGCGGAGGATGTGAGTTGTTGCTTCACGCATCCGGCGAGAGGAAAGAAAAGGATCGGGATGATCTCCGACGTGCACCAGTGGTAAGATTTGATGCGCGTGTACAAACAACCTTGGATGAGGGTCATTCCGTTCTGCTGCTAACGCTGCACAGTCCGGTCGCGCCAGAAGTCGTATTTGGGCGGGCTGTTCTTTCCATTTTTGAGTTATCGCCCATGTCTACCGGCCGCCTTTGGCTTCCACTTCGAAGTGGCAGGGAATTGGAATGCGAGACATGTGACGGCTGTGATCCGAGCCCATTGTTGGATCCACCTCCTGTGGGGTGGATTCACTGCAGCTATGAATGTATCCTTCTCTCTGAGGAGCGAGCGAATTCGGCTGCTTTTTTGGCAAATCAGGAGTTACTCCAACAGCCTCTTCTGCTTGCCGCACCACTCTTTGTGCCGAAGTATTTTGCTTCTCCTTCTATTGTAGCCTCACTCAGGTGGAACTGTTTGCGGCTTTGTATTGTGGAGGCGGTGGATGTCTGTGGGGTTCTGGTGCGTTCTGGGAGGTGGAAAGAGAAGAGGGGCGTGTACGCGAGGGTGGATGTGCTCCCACCGCCCCATTCTGCATCGTATGCGGATAGTTCCACGGTTACTGTGGCATTTGCCACACCCGCACTCGTTTCTCATAATCCCCGCTGGGTTTGTTGTGGCAGCCTAACTATTGCTGCAGACACGACACACCTTCTTATTCGGCTTTTTGATGAACTAGACGGCGGCGATGGTCTGCTGGATGGAGACACGGCGGGTATAGGGGTCATTGATATCCCGCGTGTCACCAACTCAAGATTTTGGACCACTCCTACAGGAGAAGCATGGCTGCCACTTATTGCCCCGAGAAGGGGGGCATCTCCATGTTATCACGGGGCAGTTTTCTTGCGGTGGACATTTAGTAGCCGGGATGATCCGCACATGGATGTGCTTCATGGCACCAGGACAAGTCTTTGTCCAACTTGGTCTCTTTCCGCGCAAACCCAACCGTATGGCACGTATTGGGTGCATTTTAGCTGTATAGAGTTGCTGTGGACATGGCTGCTCCATCACGTTGCGTGGAAGGCGTCTTTTGCGTCGTCGTCGTCGTCGTTGCAGCGGCGTCCAGTCTTTTTCTTGTGGTTAAGGGCAGGTTATTTTACGCACGAACTTCCCTTGGAGCCGCCATCCGAAGGCGATTGTTATATCAATGTGCATGGGGCGGTGTGTCTTCCGCTTACAGACCATGTGGAGGTGGCGGTGTGTTGCCGTCATGACTTCAATTTCCTTCCTTGTGCCTCTTCAAATGCACCTCTGCCCATTCCTTCCGCGGAGGATGGCTCCAAGGCAGTCTCTGTTGTTGGAGTGGGGGAGTTGTTACTGTCGAAGGAGGATAGGGATGATATCGTTGCCTACCACAGATTACACCGGGTGGTGATAATGATTGAGCCCCATGTCATGTACCCACCATGCTCTGTGCAGGTGGGTTTATTGACAGCGCAGATACACGTTGCCCAAATTGCACAGCAAGAAAGGGATGCCCTTTTTCGTCATGCAGCGAAACGATGGACATGGCCGCCTCCACATCACTCTACACTTGTGGAACTGCGTCTAGGGAGAGTTTTCATGTTGCATGCGCGTACAACACTTCTCCAGTCAAGCCGTACGCCATCGCCGCCTCGACGCTGGATTGTTGGCGTCCGAGAGAAGGCGGGGGGCTCAGACAAGTCGAATTCTCATGACACCGCAAGCGCCTCTCATGCGGACATTATTCATCCTCCAGTAACCCTGAATGCCACTGCCGCATCCAACGTGTCACAGGGGGAGGGCAGCGATACATTGTATCTTCGCTGGCCGGCATCACCGTTTGTAGTCAGTCTTCGTCAACGTCCCTCGCCACCGATGATTGAACTTCTTCTCTCACGGGAAGTAGCGAATTCCGAGGCAGTGAGCGTAGCTGTAACCACAGAACAGGTAGGATCCGTCACACTCGACCTGCCATACTGTTTTGAGAGGCAAAAAGGCACTCAGTTGTATGCCATCCGCCGCCCATGCGCCTCACATGCGATTTCTGGGAGCGGCGGTGTGATTGGTTTTGTGGAGCTGCATTTTGCCCACAACTTTGTTCAAGAAGACGTGGGCGTTGAGGCAAAAGTCATGGAAGCGCCGGAGAAGGTGGTGGGAGGTGAGAGAGTTTTGGTCATTACGGTAGTGAAGGCCCGCTACCGGCAACGAATGTGCCTCCCGCCTTCATTGCAAAAAGAGGAGACACAAGAAACGTTGACATCTTTTGTCGTGGGTGTGGGAGAGACGACGTGGCGTACGACAACCCAAAAGGGCATGACGCCGCAGTTTGACTGTCAAATGCTATTTGATCTTCCACGTAAAAATAAAAATGAGGCGGAAATGGGCTCCGACGACGTGGTGGAGATTCGAATGCAGATGCTCCCCGAGCTGTCAGTCAGTAACAGTGATCCTACTCGGACTGTGGGGATGATGTTGTCGCCGCCGTTTGTCACCGCCTTTGCCTTTTTGCGGTTGTGCTATGATGATGTTGTCTCTGCAGGCGAGATGAATTCCGGTCAGTGGGTTCCCTTGTACACATTCGATGATCATATGAGTGTTGTGCGCATTCTTGTGGGCGAAGTGCTTGTGCGATGGAGTTGGATGAATCAGTTCTCATGGGGCTGTGTGACGCCCTTGTCGGTGTGCAGGGCGCCGTCTTCAGCAAACCATCCTGCCAACGACGTGCCAACGCCGCCGTCTACGAGGGGCGGGGATGAATCCCTTTCGTTGCCACCGCCTGTGTACCTGTCGCTGCAGGTTTGCGATTTTGTGCACTTCAATGGTTTCCTACTTGAAACTGCGCAGAAGAAGGAGAGAAGTGAGCTTTTTTTGATGGTCTCCATGAGCGAGTCGCCAAATTATTTAAGGCCAACAACTTCTTCGTTTCAATGCCCTGACGACGATCACCAACGCCACCACCACCTACAGCAGCAACAGGAAACGCATCCGTGGGACGGGTTTGGTTTGAGATACGGGGATCGCACTGGGGGCGCGGCATTCGATCCCGTTTCGAAGCGCTGTGTGTGGAGGGAGTACTGTCTGCTTCCGTTGTTCATGGATGAAGGGTTGAATTTGCGCTTTGAGGTCTACCGTTGCAGCGAAGAGGGTGGCACCACTGTTGTGGGCAGCGGATGCTTGAATAATTGGGATGTCGTGGGGCGTGGGATTACGGCAGTTGCCATCTTTGCATTGGGTGACATGCAGCCGTGCGGTGCGCTGACAGTAGCGCTGATGCAGGCACCTCTTTATAGGGATTTGATGGTCGTCTCCACCGGTCAACCACAGGAACGGGTGACGGAGTCGCCAGCAAAGGATAAAGACAAAGGTCAGCCACAGCCGCAACTAGCAGATGATTTGAAAGGTGTGGAGTTTTTCCACTCATCATCGTCATCACCATCGGGGATTGATGTTCCGCAATCGGCGTTGCTGCGCATCACCGTACACAGCATGGAGGTTTACGGCCAGAGTGTATCACCCTCTGACGTATGTTGGGAATTAAAGTTACGGAGTGATGCGACGTACGCCCCTCAGGGAAAGACATACCAGTGGACACGTCTGGATGCAGCCAATAGTTTACTGGGGGACGGCCATGGAGAGGAATGGGTCGGTTGGATGTGCGCGCAGAACATGTCCACGATAGTGATTTCTTTTTTACGTCGCGATGTGGCGGGAGGCAGAAGGATGGCGCTGACGGGCATGCGGGATGTACACGGCTGGTTTGTTGTCAATTTTCCCACACAGCTGTCGGGTGAGGATTCCAGACGATCATTTCACGTGGATTTGTTACGTGGTACTCCTTTTGGACCTTTTAACGATGACTCTGTTCCTGTGGGACGGCTCTGCATGTCATACAGTCCGCTCCTATACTCGGGTGTGTTGTATGATCCTTTTACCGTCTTTTTCAGGCGCACACTTCGTCTTGTGGTGACGGAGTTGCTCGGCGTGGTGCGTTCGAGGCGTCTGTGCTCCTCACGGCTTCAGCGGATGTTACACGAGACAAGAGGGGTTGGTGAAACCGAAAAGGAGGAAGTAAAGGACGGGGAGCATAACCACGACACGAGTGAGGAGGATGCGCGTGTATGCATGAGGCTGCAGTGCGGAACAGCAACGGCGGTGTCGTCGCTTTTTTCCCCGCCCATTGTGAAGGTGTCGAAGCGAAACGGCATGTGGCAACTCGATGAGGAAGAGCACTGCGAGACGCTGCAGTTCTTTTTGCTGCTGGACTGCATCCCTGTGGACTGTGAGGAGGTCGCCGATGTGCGTCTCTCACTGCATTTATGCCACGCGCTTGCGCAGCCGAAGCAAACAGACGGGGCCAACGCATTGCTTGGGAGCGTCTTGATTGGGGAAGGTGTCACACATTTGTCATGGTCAGGCGAAAAGGAAGGCTCGGGGTTGTCAACGACAACCGTAGCTGCTAGAGGAGGGGCGTCGAAACCAGCAGGTGATGCCGCATCGCTTTGGGTCCCAATTTCTGCCGTGGGCGAGAAATCAGCGCGAACGGCGTATGCTCATCTGCAATACGCCTGGTCACATGAGGTGAGTTTGGGCAGCTGGCTCGTGTGTATTCGAATCCGTTCGGTGGGACAACAATCCACGCTTTATCGTCCGTTTCTTTTTTTCCGCGTGCGGTTCCCGAACGGTGCGGAGCTTTGCTTGCCGCTGGATTTATTTTGCGCCTTCTCGACTTCTAATCCATCAAATGATGAGGGCCATTCAGCGGCCGTGGCAACACCGCTGCGATCCACGTGGTCCTTTTCTCACGTTCAACTGCCAGTGATTTGGCCGTTGGGGGCACAAATTGAATCTGTCGAGCTGCACGATTATGTGGCGGCGGGGCTCACAATTCATGTGGGCACACATCGGTGGTCGTCCAGCGACACGCCGCTTCTGGCGCTTCTCGTTGACCAGAATGAAACTCAAGAGCCCCGGTCAACAGGATCGGTTTTGTTTTCCTCTGAGCGGTGGTTGCGATTCAAGGGTGTAGGCACCGGAGAGCAGAGGGGTGAGGCAGGGACGAGTGAGTGTGTGCATGAGGTCCTGTTGGCGCGGTCCGCTTGTCCGCCAAGGGGAGTTGACGCGACGAGATGCCTGCATGTACCGTTCCACTGGTGGCCTCTTCAGGCATCCTTGCGTTTCACCGCCTCCGGCTCCGATCTGGTGGCGCTGGGGGCGGGTCGGCTGGCAGTGAGCTGCCGACTATGCATCGGCCGGTGGCAGCTGGATTCGACAACCGCAACAGCAGGATGGGTGTGGGAGAGAAATGATGACGATAATGAGGTAAAGGCCGATGAGATGTTCGCCTCCTACGTTGAAGTGGAACCGTCCACTGCCTCTGTGACGGCGACGTGGGGGACGCCCGCTAATAAGAATAGTGCTGCTGCTGTCGCAACTGGTGGCGGGGCGTTGAGGCGTTATTTTTCTGTTGAAGAACTACGTGATGGATTGACGCGGTATGCTGTTCGTGTGAGCGTCATTTGCCGCACAAGATGTGCTTCCAAATTTGGCTCAGAGTCCACGACCCCACCCCCAGCATCCGCGGCATGGAATGCGGGCGTGAATACCGTTTACACATACGAGGGCGTTCTTATTGTCGATGATGACTGCACCAGCACTTGTGGGGAGACTCGATTGGTGCTTGTGGAAGGTTCCGGGGTTACTGCGAGGGCGCCTAAAGACTCTGGTAGAGAAGAAAATTCAATCGCCATGGCGTGGGTCATTGCACACGAAGAGATGAAGCTCTTTGCAACAGAGCGGGAAGACTCCCATGCGGCACAGTTGTGTCGTCCATTTCTGGACGCCGTGGGGAAGATGAGACGTTGGCGACAACGCCACACGAACGATGCACACCAGAAGCCTGAAATGCCGTCATGGCTGGTGACATCGATTGAAGTGAAAAAATTGCCGGTTGTGTTGACGTCGATGCCCAATGCAACTTTGACGGCTTCCAATGGTTTTCCCGCCACGGGATTTATTCCTCGGGACCTTCCTGTGTTGATTCATTTGGCCTTAAAGCGATTTCGACGTTGCCATTCCCACAAGAAATCTGCTTCTTTGAATGGGGAGAGGGTGGTGATGGTGGGCGGGGGCGAAGGGGGATTTCGCGCACGTTTTCCTCCCGTTTCTTTGCATGCTCTTCCCGTCAACACTCAACAAATTCGGCCACTTTGCGCCCTGCACGTGGAGCCCATGTGGTGTATTTCACCACAGCATTGGATGGATCACAGACGGCCGCTGAATCTCATGCTTTGGCAGGAGCTGTCGTCTAGCGAAAAGCTCAGCTGCGTACTGGGCACTCTGCGCCTGGATGTCCTTCTTAGAGATGCCGCTGCTCAACGCCCTACTAGAAGTGGCGGTGATGTTGCGAGGGAGGTTGTGACCGATTGGCAGCCACTTCACGGCAGTGAATTGTCAGTACAGTGCGCGGGAATTGTACGAGTGCGATTCCGCCCCGTTGTGCACCTACCGAGGGAGGAGCGTATGAAGGACCGCCAGGTGCCTGTTTGCGTGGAGGTGCTGGAGGTCACTGCACAGTCCTTCAAGGGAATTTTTTGTTCAAGGCACGGAGGCCGATTGGGGCTGATGTTTTCTCCCGCAGACAATGCCGGCTTTGCGTCCTGCAGCAGCACATTTTTGCGGCGTGGCGGAGAGGCGGCGGCATTTGCAACCAACGAAACGGGTTCTCGTGGGCGGCACTTGAAGGATGATGCCGTTACTTCCGGCATGATCACGGAAGCTGCGGATTTTTTACCGAATGATGACGAACATTTTTCCTCTGAGGAGGCGGCGAGGGAAAATAAGGAGATGAATATCGATCGCAGTGGCCCGAGTGAAACGGATGATCATGTGAGTGTTCATGGCAATGAGGGAACAACGCCAGAGGAACTTGTGGCACTCTCGACATTCCACACTATTCTTCTGGAGGGACGAGAGATGGATCTGGACACGGGGCAGAAGACATGGCTTGGAATGGACGTTATTCTGGTGGAATGTAGAAGTGATGGGCACCAACAGGAGGGTTCAAGTATTGACTGCGACGATATTGTTCGTGTGTTGGCTGCGGAACGACTGGATTTACGCCTACATTCTTTCATGTCGTGTGGTAGCACCGAGAGGGAGGATCCACAGTCTTTGCAGAAATCATCAAGAGCAGGAGTGGCATCGTCTCTCTACAGTGCCGCTGATTTCACGGTGGCGCTCTCTTGCGTTTCTTCAGGTGTTGTCACCGTTCGTCTGCACGTTGTTATACTCGAATCATCTCCCCCTTTTATTCATGAGGGAAATGACACTAACCGTAATGATGATTATGATGGTGAGGATGCGGAAACACGGTGCATCGCTCCACGCTTTTTTTTTGCCGCCGATGGCCATGGAAAGGACAGGATCAGTTCCTTTGGTGACCGTGTCTCTGCAGTGGGTGGTAAAGTTTATAGAATGGGAGGGAAGGTATACGAGTGGGATGCTCAGGAGCTGCAACGCGTACGTTCTTCCTCTTCTTCTTCTACCGCAGGTGCCGTTGCGTTCAGTATTCCACGGCTGAGATGCTTTAAATGGAAAACGGTGAAAACGAAGTCAGGGAACGTGTCTCATCCCACGGCCCTTCCATGGCAATGGCGTTACCGTCTTGGGCACACAACATGGGTCTATGACAACAGGTACATCATGGTGCATGGTGGCATCTGCGTGAGCCAAGTTGGAGGACGAACACCACCACCGCTCTTTAAAAGAAGAGATGGGAGGGGAAGAAGAAATCGAAGGTGTCGCTTTACAAGTTGCATTTTTAATCGTGTGGCAGAGTCACTTGTCCATGACGCGTCCTCCGCCGTTTTTTGTTACGACACGAAAGAGCATAGCTGGGCGGTGATGGAAACCGAGGAAGGCGACATGGGTAAAGCGAGAGTCAATGGTGAAAAGGTGTCGTGTCAGCATGTGTTTCACTCCAATGTACTCATTCAAGAAAAGGTTTGGTGCTTTGGTGGCTGTCGTGTGGCGGGAAAAACGCGTGAAGATGGCGATGAATTTGGGGACGCGAAGGATGCAGCGTGGATGACACAAAAAAAGGCACATGCGTGCCGAGGCCTTCTCTCCAATGCGTTGACATGCCTCGATCTTCCCACACGTCACTGGAGTATTGTGGAGCCGGTGGCGCAGATGACAAGCCGTGCAATTTCTCCCGATCGCACCATTCCCTTCTTCTCTGCTGTGAAAACACCACTGATGTCTTCTTCACCGCTTCCTGTGATGTGTCACACGGCGGTGGGGTGGAAGGATCAGATGTTTGTTTTTGGCGGCCTACAAGAGGTGGTGGAAGGCGAAGGCACCGTGCTCAGGCCCTCCAATGCGCTCTACATGTTCCACACGATCCGACTCTCGTGGTGGTTGCTCTCCCCACCAAATGCTGTGGACGCTGTTGTTGTTGCTGATGATGGCGGCGTCGGCGGCGGAGGGCTCAACCTTAGTAATGACGACACGGGGCGTCGTAGGAATTGGCCCTCCGCGCGTTACGGACATGCCGCGGCCATTGTGCCTGAACACCCTCACGGTGCCTTTATTATCCTGGGGGGCGCCACATGTCTTCCTATGAATGGGAAGAAAAGCGGGGAGTTGACGTTTGATTGCGCGTTGGATGAACTGCTGTGGGTATATTACGCAGCATTTGGCTACTGGCAGCGGATTGAGGTCCCGTCATTTGTTCCACTCACTCGGCGTGTATTTTCATCCCTACAAATTGTGAGGTTAACAACAGGAGAACCGTGGATTTCGTACGTTATTGTCATTGCCGGTGGATGTGACGCCTCTTTTCTGGAGAAACAGCAGCGGCAGGAGCCACATGCAGAGGAGGAAGCCATTGATAAGAAACAGGGCACAGGGCTGTCCGTGGATGCCAATGGGGATACCTGTAGAGGTGATGATATTTCTTGCGTTTCATTGGCAAATGGAGCGATTCGACACGTGTTTTTTACTGTTCTCACTTCCCCACAGTTGGAAACAGCGTGGGCCTCACTGGAGGAGCGTGGCCTTTGGCAGGTGTCAGTGAAAAATCGAACATGATACGAGAAATATATATATATATATATATATAAGTGTCTAGATTATTTATAGCCATATCTTTATTCTCTGTGCATGGCGATTCAAGTGCGACGCATGACATGATTCATGGCGCGTTGCGGGGGAGGGGTGAATGCACGGAGGGATGGGCAACTGGTGCTTTATTATTATTATTATTATTATTATTATTATTATTATTATTATTATATATGTATTTACGTATTTATCCCCGCAAAGGGTTCATCATGAATAGAAAATAATAATAATAATAATAATAATAATAATAATAATAATAATAATCATTTGATGATCTGTTTATTATCATTAACTTCATTGTATACAATTATGTATCTGTTGGTGTTTCTGCTTAATGCAAATGGTGAGAATTTGATTTTCTTTTGCAGATAATTCTACCTTTTTTTTTTTTTTTCTTTTTTTTTCTTTTTTTGGCGTCTACCGCACGTATGGTGGTGTTGGTGGTAGTAACGAAGGATAGTAGGGACTGGTGGCAGCTTGTGGTGAGCATTATAATTCTGGAGGGAGGCGATATTCTTCTTTTCTTTTCTTTTCTTTTTTTAAATTTTATTTTATTATTATTATTTTTTCTCGTTGTCGTTGTTGTTTATTATTGACGGTTTTTATTTAAATTTATAGTTTGCTTGCGGATGTCGTGTCACGGAGGCTCTCATACATGGCTGTTTTTTTTTCTTCTACGTGGCGTGTTGCTGCTGTTGCTACTTCTGCCGTTGGATGCGGGGGAGGAGGTGGTGGTGGTGGCGGCGGCGGCGAAGTCGGCACCCAAAGTGGAGGAAGAGGACTTTTACGAAGTTTTGGGCCTCGGCAAGGAGCGCGATGATGCGAGTGAACGGGACATCAAATCGGCCTGGCGCAAGTTGTCCAAGAAGCACCACCCGGACCTTGCAGGGGAATCACAGCGTGAGGTTTACCAGCGGATTCAACGCGCTTACGAGGTACTTGGGGACCGCAAAAAGCGGAAGGTTTACGACATTCTCGGCCTTGACGGCGTCAAGAAGATTGAACAGCCCCAGGAACAGCAGCAGCAACAACAACACATGCATTCATTTTTCTCCTTCTTTGGCGGGGGCCATCAGCAACAGCAGGTGGACCGCGGTAAGAATGAGGATTTGGTTTTACTGGTGCCGCTCGAGGATGTCTACAGCGGGGCAGCACACACCGTGAAGCTCTCCAAGACAAAAATATGCCGCAACTGTCGCGGAACAGGGGCGCGTAGCAAAGATCATCTTGTGCGATGTCCGCACTGCAATGGGGAGGGTCGAGTTCTGCGTCGTGTGCAACTCGCCCCGGGATTTATCCAGCAGATGGAGCAGCCATGCGCCCACTGCAATGGTCAGGGTGTATTCATAACAGAAAAGTGCTTGATGTGTAAGGGCAAGAAGACAGTGCGAAGCACTTCCTCCATTAGCATCGACATTGAGCAGGGTATACCAGATGGCCACGTCCTCACATATGAGCTGGAGGCGGATCAACAGCCAAATCAAGTTCCCGGCGATGTTCTCTTCACTGTTGTCACCGCCTCCCACCCCCGCTTTACACGTAGCGACAACGACCTTACGGTGACTGTTGTGCTCACGTTGAAGGAGGCATTACTGGGTTTCAGCAAGTCATTAACGCACCTTGATGGCCACGTGGTAGAGTTGGAGCAGTCGGGTGTCACACAACACGGGGAACGACGCAAAATTGCCGGTGAAGGCATGCCCAAGCACCATGTGCCATCTGAGCGTGGCGATCTTCATGTCATCTTTGAGGTGGAGGTGCCATCTCTGCTCACAAAGGCACAAAAAGAGGCTCTTGAACGGGCCTTTGGCTAACGAAAAGGAGATATATATATATATATATAGAGAGAGAGAGAGAGAGAAAATGATGATGAGAAAATTGTAGGGAGACATGTCTGTGTGTATGTATATGTTTGTGTGCGTGTGTGTGTCTTTCGGTATATATACGTATATATACGTATTATTATTAGTGTGTGAGTGTGCGTGAGGTCAATGTAAAATTTCTTTTTTTTTTTCCTTCTTTCTTTCTTCTTTTTTTTTCTTTTTGTTTTTTTTGTTTGTTGTTGTTTCTCTTTCGCTCCGTTTCTTCGGTCACGCAATGCAAACGCACAGGCAGACTGTAGTCTGGGAGAGAAAAGAAAAATATAAAACAAACCAGACAGACAAGACAGACAACAACAACAACAAGAAAGGAGAAGAAAAAAGAAGATGATGATGATCACAGGGGGACCCTTCGTCTACGAAGGAAGGGGGAAAGAGATAAAGAAGAATGAAAAAAAAAAAAAAAAGAAAAAAAAAAAACAAACAAACAAACAAACAAACAAAAAAGAGGATAAAATACTGGAAGAGACGGAGAAAAAGATAACGCTCTGTTGCAAGCTTTAACGAAAATAGAGAGAGAGAGAGAGTGTGTGTGTGTGTGTGTGTGTGTGAGGCTGAATGAGCCGGTGGAACTTTGGTGTGTGTGTGTGTGTGTGTGTGTCTGTATGTGTCTGTATGTGTGGGGCTTCTCTTTTATCATGTGTGCATGCGATGTGGAGTGTTGGTGGCTCTTATTTATTTATTATTATTATTTACTTTTTTTTTGTGTTTCTTCTGTTTTCTCCATTTCCTTTTGTTTTTTTCTGCATCAGCGCCGGTGGGTGGGTGAGTGTTGCTGCTGGCGGGGGGTTGGGGGGTGGGAGGGACAGGAGCCCGGCTGAGATTGAATCCACCGCTCCGCGTAAGCTGCACGCACGACAACATTTCAAGAAGGGATTGACGGACGGATCGCGGATACAACCACGCCTCTGTCTGTCTGTCCGCCCACATTACCATTTACACAATCACACAGATATATTTAGAATACATACACCCACGCTGTAATCACACAGGGATAAAGAAGGGAGGAGGAGGATGACATCGGCTGCTACTCTTTTTGCTATCACCGGACGTGGAAATGACGTGAAACGTGCACGTGAACTGATCGCCTCCATTGGTGGTGTTCTCACAACGAAGGAGCAGGTGGCCGACTACCTCGTCGTTGTCAAGGGTGCGGGGAGGCGCAGGGTCGAGGAGTATTGCCAACACCACCACCACCACCAAAAGCAGCTGCAGCATAATGGAGGCGGAGGCGGTGGGAATTTGGCCGGCCACACTAGCAGTAGCAATGGCATAAGAGATTTACACTCACGGGGCGGTCGTCTTCTGCTGCTGGACATGCTGGAACAGTGGAGCACACGTGGAAAGGTGCCCGAGCGTGACGTGAGCGTGGAGGAACTTGAAGGGATGAATCTGCTCAGCTCAGCCGGGGCAGAACGTGACCAACGCTTCTACGATATTCCCGAGGGATTTTTGAAGCGCTCCCGCGTGACGCTTGACCCCCACGGCAACGCGGTGGATGAGGCGGACAACAGCGGGCTTGTCTCCAGTAGACGAGCAGCCCCACCCTTGACGGCCACGCCACCACCACCACCAGCACAACCAGCAATGCCACCTGCATTATTGCGGCCGCCGATGGTTCCTGCCGCCGTCCCACTGGCTGGGGCCGTTGTCTTTAAAACACCGCTGCAACACGACGCCCAACGTCGCGGTGTGCCGCGTGATGACGAAAGCGCGCCACAGAAGGCAGCGGGCGATGTGGCGTCCTATGGGCCGAAAAACAACGGCGTGGTGAATCCCATGCGGGCCGCATTTCAGAGGCGTCCCAAGCCGGAGTGGGATACTTACTTCGCGGACGCTCCCGGTAGCTGCGGTGCCGGCGATGCTCAATGGGTTGGCAACGCCACTACGAATAAGAAGAAGACGAACGACAGTCATTGCAGTAGCAAAGTACATGTGGCTCCACAAAACAGGGCCGCTACCGCAGCAGCAGCGCCTTCTCCTTCGGAGTGCACGCCATCCAACCAGGCTTATCCCTCATCAACAGCGAGAGGCGAAGCCGCAGTTGCACCGAAAATCACGAGGCAGAAGAAAAACAGCGTGGAATTGACATTTGACCTGTCAAAACGCGGCACGCGACGCCCCGAAATGGCGCTGCGTGGCTCCAAAAGCAATAGCGACATGAATGCACATGAATCGACCACGAAGAAGAGGAGTGGCGAGAAGGCGACGGTGGAAGAGGGGGCACGTAAACAGCAACAAGAAACAAAAGAAAAAAAACAAGAGGTGAGAACAAAAAAAATACGACGCGATGGTCCAAAGTCCCGTTTTTATCACAGCGCGTTGAATAGCAAACCTGGAAAGTCCAGATCTGTAGAACTTCCCACTTCGCGGCAGTCCAAAGTGAACCACGACGATGCACCGTGCAGGAGGACCGCAGGAAGTGGCGTGCTTGCGAGCGATGGATCGTTTGGTCCCCCACCGCCACTTCCTCCCCGTCCACATGAGTCGGCCGGGATGCGCTCCACCACGGGGGCGGCGACAACGACAACACAGACGGGGTGCAAATCAACTCCAGCAGCTTCTCGGCTTGCACGGCCGTTATCGACGTCGATGCCATCCCATCCTCCCGCTGCAGCCGCCGCTGCAGTGACGACGAAGGCGGCGAATAACAACTCGACTCGTGTAACTCATGGTAACTCACTTCTGCAACGCGTCCGTCAGAGTTCGTACTGCAAGGGCATTCCCGAAGAAACATGTCTAGCGGTACTGCAGCAGGTTGTAGACCGTGCGTGCCCTGTAAGTTTTAGTGGCATATCTGGCCTTGAGGTTTGCAAACGCATCTTGTACGAGGCCATCATTCTTCCCGCGAAGTGCCCACAACTCTTTACGGGGCTGCGACGGCCCTGTTCGGGGTTACTTCTCTTTGGTCCTCCCGGAAACGGAAAGACGCTCCTCGCCCGTGCTGTGTCGAGGGAATGCGATACGACTTTCTTCAGCATCTCCGCCGCGGCCATCACCAGCAAGTGGGTTGGTGAGAGTGAAAAGATGGTGCGGGCACTTTTTGCCGTCGCGCGGGCCCTTGCCCCCAGTACAATTTTTGTGGATGAAATTGACGCACTGTTGCAGGCACGAGGGAGCGCCCACGAAGGAGAGGGCTCCCGTCGCATCAAGACGGAATTTCTTGTGCAGATGGATGGTGCGGGGAACGACAACAGTGAGGCACGTGTTCTCGTCATGGGTGCGACGAACCGTCCATTTGACTTGGACGAGGCGATTATTCGGCGCTTTCCAAAGCGCGTGTTTGTGCCGTTGCCGGATGCACCCGCGCGTGCGCAGATCCTCCAATCGCTGCTGGATACGGAAGAGACACCTAACAGCTTCACCCCGGCGATATGGCAGCGCATCGTCGCCATGACCGATGGGTACAGTGGACATGATCTGCGGCAGCTTTGTGAAGAGGCGGCGATGATTCCTGTGCGTGACCTCCTTGCGGAGAAGATGCGCAACGGAGAAGAATTGACAGCGCAAGCGTATCATCACGACTTGCTGCGACCGTTAACATTGCAAGATGTTGAAACCTGCATCAAGGCGCGTCACCCCAGCTGTTGCCCCAAACAGCTAAAGGCCTTGAGTGAGTGGAGTGACACCTACGGATCCAGTTAGTGGTATGGGGGAGAAAACAAACAGAAAAACCGTTTTAATTCTTTTTGTTTTTTGTTGTTTTTTCTTTCTCTCTCTTATTTAATTGCTATTTGCCTGTATGAGGCGTGTATCTTTGGATTCCTCATATCCGCAACGTTGGCTGGGGCGAAGAGACTCTTCTTTGGTGGCTCCTTCCTGACTCTATTACTTACCATTTTACCCACTTTTTTTTTTTTTTTCCAAGGACAAATTACGGACCGACAAAAATGGAGTAAATTGGAAGAGAATGATTGACTGGCGTACGTGGAGGAGGAGGAGGGGGTGAAATTATACCCTCGATGACTGTAATACACGAGGCAGCTATGTGGTTGATATCAATAAGGCCATATATATATATATATATATATATTACTGCTCTTTATTTTTTATTTTTTAAAGGGCTTGTGGAAAAAAGGCTGTAGACGATGATGAGGACTTGTCCTATTGCCATTTTCCAAATGGAATATTATCACATGACATTTTCTCTTGGAGCTGACTTGCTGGTGTGCGACGGGGCTGTGATGGAGTCTCAAGAACGCGGTGTTTATTATTATTATTATTATTATTATTATTATTATTTTGTCATCCCGTAACTCCGCTGCGGGATTCCCGGGCCGTTGGTTGGGGAGAGGTCTGAAGGCGTTGGCCAATTGTTATTGGTCAACGCGGATAATATGAGACCTGATGTTTGTGTATATGCGGTGCCGTTATTTTGTGCTCAGGCTACATTGACCGTTGGTAGTGTTGCTCAAAGCCCGCGTTGAGCTGTGTGGGTGTTCCCATGATTTCTCTCTCTTTTTTTTTTGTTGTTGTTGTATGTGTGTGTGTGTGTGTATGTGTGGATGGAGCAGCAGGCCTTGAAAAAAGGAGTTTTAGGGGAAAAATATACGGAACAACGCTGGAGGCGTACAAATTTAGGTGAATACTGTAAAGACGGCCCCCCCCACTTTTTTTTTTCTTTTTTTTTGATTTTTGTGGACAAACGGCAACCACGGCAAGAATAACTTCAGCGAATAAATGCAACTGAGCAACGTGGACTTTACCCCAGTCAAGGGTGTGGTACAGGGCATGCAACGCTGCACTATTGCCCGTCAGTTTAAAGGGGAAGCTACCATCATTCAAAACTTTCGTTTGCCCGATGAGGTGCTGCTTTCTCTTCGAAAAATGTTATCGACTCAAGAGCAAGATTGCATGTGGGTGGACATGCAGGGATGCACCGATGAGCAGAACAGGAATGTTCTCCGGCTGCTCTTCCCAGACCTGCAGCAGAG